AAAACATTGTCTTTAATTACAAACACATTATCAAGGCTCTAAGCTCCTAGATACTATCCCAGAAGCCCAAACACATTGCATTCGACGAACTGCATTGTCACACAACAGGGTTTGGGGAGGTTGAATTGTTATCCTGGTAATCAAATGCTCAATAAATTCAAGAAAATATGACGCGAATGTGGCTTTGGTATCATTTGTTACCACGGGTTCCAATCGACCTTTAAATTCCCATGGTTCATTCAGGAACTTATATGGAAAATGCTTCATTATTCCTCTTTGCTCTAACAATTTTAACAGCAACTCGAAAAGATGTTGTATGAATGTAAAAAGCTTAGCATGTTCCATACCCATCAGCATGCAGTCATAAACATTCATGCGTCCCTCGTGCAAGAGGATCTTAAGAGTCACAAAATGAGTTTTGTTCATGCTCATGATTGCCAAAAGCCTTTTTGCACCAATCCAATCCATGCCTCCAGGATATGGTCTAATGCCCCTGACATAGTTAATCATATCTTCATCCCATTCAAACTCATTAATTAATTGCGTAAAGCTTCTGCCACCAACTGTCGTTGCCTCTTCGCTTATTTTGTCATATCTTAGTTTGAAGTTGGAATAAAAGTTGAGATCCAGGATTCTATCTGTGGAATCATAGTACTCAGGGTATCTCACATGCCTCTCTCGTATGAGGCCCAAAATTTCATCAACATACTGAAATAAAAAATAATATGAAAGAGTAATAAGAGTAATCATTGAAAAGATAAAACAAACGAACATTATAAATTGAAGGTACTAGTAGAGAAAAATTACCCAGTCTTCCCACCAAATGTCCATGCTTGTCATGGTCCTAAAATCTTCTCCACTAAAAAGGTGCATGTCGTATTGTGCACACAGATCCTTTGCTCTCATCAGGTACACCAGTTTGTTCTTTTCAACTATAGTCACACGCTTATAAACATCCACATGCTTGAACTCCAACACTTCCTCTCCTATTGCCATTGGCAATTCTCCAAAGATCTTCTTCTTCAAATTTTGTATTGCCTTGATAAAGGATTTTTCCTCCTTTTGGCTTGTGGAGTATATGGATGCCGAACATTCTTTTATGGAATGACCTTGATCCCCCTCTTATTTTTAAATTCATTGACGGCCTGACTCAATGTTTGAAGATACATGATAGAATCTTCATCTTGTTTCTTGCACTTCTCACAGAGAAAGCCAGAGCATCTTCTACAAGAGGTAGCCCCTTGGTCTTGTCCAACACCAGCACCAACATCAATCATCAACCCCATCAAAAACAACTAATTCATTAACAACTCTGTCTCTTTTGATGGTTCTTGCTCCAGCCAATTCCATTTTAACTCTATCCACAACAGGATCAAATAAGGTTTCAACCAACCCTAGAGTAATCAGATATAACATTTGCAATTCCTTTTCTGTTGGGACAAGCCATGGATGCACAACCTACAATTATAAAAATGAGTCATTCGTAGGAATATTTGGGTCAGATGTGTCATATGTTGCTACAGATGGGTGATATGTTGACACATATGGGCATCTGTAGCAATATTTGTGTCACATGTTGCAACAGATGAATCATCTGTAGCAACATATGAGTCATTTGTAGCAACATTTGGGTCACATGTTGCTATAGATTAGTGATATGTTGCAACATATATGGGTGTAATATAATAATAACTTACTGCAACATGAGGAGGGTTATAAGGATCTGAAATATTTTTGGCAGTTTTTGTTTTTGATCTCAAACCATCTCAATATCCTTAGAGATGAGATCTTTTCTTCTGCATTTACTTGATGGGTCAAATGAGGAATGACTTCAAATGCCCAAGCCTATAAAAAAGGAAAACATGTCACAAATCAAATGTTGAATTATTCAAATATAACATAAAAAGACTAAGAACATTTATATTTATCATGAAAGCCCATGGAAAGCCAAATAAGTTATTGGTCTTTGGTCCTAAAGGTTTCAACAAGTATTTGACAGTTAATTCAAAGCTCTCATGACCCCAAGGATAGTTGTTGAAAGCTTCAATATCTTGAGATAAATTCACCCATTTAAGGGATATGTTGTTGTTGAGATCTTTGGCCAAAAGTACACTATGTACAAACCAAAGTAAGCACAATGACTCCTTGTGCTTCCTTGATGTATCCTCGTCATTCAACAAATATATTAAATCGGAATTTTTGAAGCTTGTGCCAACAAGGGACACTAATTCCTGCTCCTCAGTTTATTGTCTTGTTTCTTCTTTTCCTCCTTTCTTTTGTCTTCGTGGTTCTTTTTTGACTATGAATTCAGGGACTGACTCAGAAAGAGGATGACATTTTAACGCTAAAACTATGGCAAACTCTCTTCTGCCAAAGAAGAGTGGCATGCCACAATAATTAATCAAAACATCATCCTTCTTTTCAGGATTCTGAAAAATGAACCTTCTTTTCAGAAGTTCATAGACCATGGTCATTTGAAAACGTGCATTATTATTCTTTGGCAAATCAAGAAAGTGACCAAAACAACTATTCCTAAAAAAATCTTCCAAACCATTCTGCTTGAGGGTGATCCTAAAGGTGTCGAAAGGTTTTCCAATGGCTGACCTCATAATGCTATCACCAGTAGCATTAGGCTGCAAATGCACAAGAAAATTGTGTGCATTGATAGTTTTGATCCCATCATCCTCAACTTCATTTTTTTCTTGTTCTTCTTCCTCAACTTGTTTTTGTTTTCCTTTGTCTTCATCAACTTCATTTATTTTTTCTTCTTCCTCCTCAACTACTTCTTTATTTTTCCTTCTTCTTCCTCAACTTCTTTTTGTTTTCCTTTATCTTCCTCAACTTCTTTTTTATTTTCCTCTTCTTCCTCAACTTCTTCTACTCTTTATCCATCATCATCTACTTCATTTTTTTCTTTTTCTCTTTCTTCATATTCTTTTTGAGAAAATTCTGCTTCTACTTGAGAAGAAGAAACTGCTTCAGAATTTTTCTTTTGACAGGAGCCACTATATTTGTATCTGCAACCACAAAAATCAAATATTTCTTAACAAAAAATAACAACAACCAAACACAACAACACAAACAACAAATAAGATTCAATACCACACATGAACCAACCAACAAACCACAAAATCCTCTCTAAACCCTAACCAACGAACTACAAATTAAGTTTTTTGAAATCAGATAATATTTCAGAAGGAATAACTATCCAACCATCCTACAAACAAATAAGTGATAAAGCCACTAAAAACGTCTTGATTTAATAACAATAAGTATTTCTCAAAACTCTAATTAAATTTTACCTGAGAATATATCAACGATAAACTAGAAATGATGAGGGCAATGATTCCTTGTTGTAGAAGAGGATCGCAACAAATTACCACTGATGTTGTAGAAAATATCGCAACAACAACCTTGATCTGTGAAGGAATAATGGAAAGAGAGAAAGGAAGGAAAGAAGATAAAAGAAAATGGAAATTAGTAAAAGTAAATTAAATTTGGAATATCAACGACCTTTTATAGAGGAAAGGAGAGAGGGAAAAATGAAGGGACGATTGTTTTAAACCTTTAATTTCTTTTTTTGAATTTTGACAATTCAAAGTGTGGCATATGTTGCCACATATACCCTTTCTGTTGGGGCACATGTAGATAATTTTGTGGGTTTTTACAACAGAGGTTATATATGTTGCCACATACACCACATTTCTTCCTTTCCATCATAATTGAAATTTGTTCCAACAAAATAAAAATAATATTAATAATCATTAATATTAATATTATTGGCAAAAATGAACAATTGATGACAATATAATGTTGCCACATATCTCTTTTCTGTGACATATATTACCACATATCTTCTTTCTGTGACATATATATGTTGCCATATGTATCCTTTCTGTTGGGGAGCATGCAGATAATTATGTGGTGTTTTTTTACAACAAATATAATATGTTGCCACAGACACCACATTTCTTCCTTTCCATCATAATTGACATTTGTTTCAACAAAAATAATATATCATTAATATTAATATTATCAGCAAAAATGAACACTTCACCATTTGTTTTATACAACTTATCAAGAAAAAGGTAACTCACAATGTATACATAACCATCAATCTAATCAATGGTGGTAACCTCAACATTTTCATCGAACTTTGCTTTTTTAGGTCTAGGCCTCTGTGGGTCTTTATTGTTACTAACATAGCAACTCTGAGCCTTTAAAATATCCCATAATTCCATAGGAGTGAAGCATATCTCAAGCGAAGGGATTAAGAAATAATTCCATCAGATGGTATTTGTAGTCCATCACTTAAAAACTGAGCGTATGCAGCTACAAAATTCCACAATCATTGCATGGTATATCATGAATTAGAAATAATAAACCTAATATTAACACCACATTTCGATAGTGTAAGACTAAAAAAATAATGTGATACTACTTACAAACTATTGCTTGCTTGTTGGGTAATACCAGTAACATGTATAACTTTGAATGGGTGAGGTTTTTCTTGCCCTGGTAAGAATTCAAGAACTAACTAGTTGGTTCGGTCTTTTTGCTCATAAAATCCGCTGGATTCAAGGTACTTTGGCAACATTGTAGACAACTTTTGAATCTCGGCACACAATTTTCTGTTAGTCCTAGATGAGGACATCGAATCATACACCTTTA